CCATGCTATGTATCATCTGGTATATTTATTACCTGTTGCTGAAAGAAACAGTATCACTCTCCCCACCTACTTCCAGCTGCTTATTGTGTCTTTCTCCCTTTTGCTGCATCCAGTAATTTCTCATCCACAGGACAAGCCAGGCCAGCATAATTTCCTGATTTAGTTTTCCTTCCCAGGCAGTTAGGGTTTTTTTTTTTCTGAATCAGCTGCTTACCTTGAACTCACCTTGGGACTGGGGGCTGATGTAAGAGAGGGAAAAAACAGGCTGAAGTATCCCTTTTGGCATCAGCCTGCAGTTGCACAAGGCCAATGCAGTATTAAGCCATGCTCTGGAAAGTATTACTAGCTTTCTTCTTGTAGAATAAATATTCAAGTGTCATCAGGATTCCACATAATACAGTGAGTTTCTGAGAGCTAATGAGAAATTCTGCAAGGAAAAATTGTAATACTATAGCAAATGAAGGACTCCACAGGGCACCAAAGCAGAGTGACATGAATAAAAACTCAATATCTGGACAAAAGGCCTTGCAATCTAAATTGACAAGAGTAGTAAGAAATTAATTGCCTTTCCTAATATCACCTAGCAGGTTAGTAACAGAGGCAGAAGTCAAATGCAGGAGTTGGGACAGGCAGCCTATGCACTCTTCCCATAGCAGCAATTGTTATTTACTCACTGCTTGTGGTATGGCATCTCCACGTCAAGAACTGTCTTAGGTTCCAGAAATAGTAACATGAAAACAAACCATTGTATTTGCTACTCCATAAGCAAATTATCAGTTCAATGCGGTTTACACTATCTGAAAGTTCCCAATGCCTTCCAAAGGAAAGAACTTGAAACCGTAATATTTTTCTGACTCAGTAACATGTCCTTTCTCTCCTCTAATGACAGATTAAAGTAAACAAAATTGAAAAAAAATCCACTTCTATTTTTTGTTTCTATTAAATGAAGAGAGGTGCAATTTGGGATTAGTACTTTTAGATCATCCTAAATTCTCCAAAGAAGAAGTAAACCAAGAGGAACTACATAAAAAAATAAAAAACGAAAGCACAGACACAGAAAGGAGATCATTCAAAGAGGAAAAGCAGTATAGCTTCCTATTTAATCTGGCTATTAATAAATCCAAATAAATACAGCAACACTGGTCGCATCTCTATTTTTTGCTTCTAAAAGTAAAAACCCACTCTGTGCTGTTATGTACATAGTACAAAACTGCATTGATAAACAGAACTGTATATCCCAAACCAAACACAAATCCCCACAATCAATTCCCTCTTCCATCTGTATTCTGCTGTTAACTATGTGGATTTAACACAGAGAGAGATTAACTTCAAAACTATCAACAAGTTTTCTATTTCAGGTTTAAAATACGGCTTAAGGACTTAATCAGAAACACAAAATGTAATTCTTGAAGTCAAAAAATGCCATCACACAGCAAACTTCAGCACACAGATGACAGTTAGATCATCTTCAGTAAACCACAGCTTTTCTTACTCTGATGGTTATCACATCACAGGAAAGACCTGAAGAAAGACTCTGCTTACTTTTCTTCATCTTGATTATTCCCAGTTGTTCCCAAGGCAAAAGCCCACCAAAGATCCTTTCTGGGGAAGTTAGGTAAGCGTATTACCTGAAGAGCAACAGGACTAGCTAGTGAAAACATTTATTTTCATGTAACACAGAAGAATATATGTCATATTAGGAATATATGTCATATTAGCTGGAAGGTTCTGGAGTAGCTGCGATGACAGAAGTCCATGGTCCAAGAACCGCACCTTTGTACCAACGTCTGCCAAAAATACCAGCAAGTGGCTGGTGAAACTTCAGTTGTTAAAAGAGAGGCTCAAACCTTCGCATCTTCAATATCTCACAATTTCCCATCAGAATTTTGACACTAACACTCCCCAAGCACATTAACACCTGCTGTTTTTCAGAGATGTCCAGCACCAGCATCTAGCACAGCATCTACTTTTCCTGAGTCATCTCACTGGAGTGTGGATTACCACAAGTTGTGATGTGAGGTCCTGGAAGGATCTTAGCACCCCTGCACTAACCAACCACTTCTTGGCTAATATTATATGGAAAACAAAAATAACTGGTGCTTTCTGGCTTAATACAATTTTAGAGTCTATCCATCATGTTTATTAGAAAAGGCATTATAAGCTTCTGTCCTACTTATATTGCAACAAAAGGAGCACACTCCAGTGAGGAACTAAGTGAATGCTCGAATGAGTAAGCAAAATACCAAAGATTTTATTATGAGATTAGCAGAAGGTAATTTGATCCTTTAAAGTTTTATCTTTGTTGTTTATTTATTGATTCCAGTTATAGCCTTATTATTTTGCTACAACTGAAGATTTTTATGCAAGTAAGTGTTTAACTATTTTCAAATGTTTCCCCAGGACAAATTATGCAATGCCTTTGAATAAAATGCAGACAACTCGACTTTGCTGTCCTCTAGAGAGAGACAATATTATTTACATATTTTTTAATGGAGGAAATGTTATAATTTCAATATTTTTTTAACATATTAGATCCTTACACAACTAATATTATCAATTGTGCAATTTCATCATCACCACTACACTTAACCCTGCACACTGGCTTCCCCTTCTGCTGCTAAGTCGCTCAAGTTGTTTTTTAAGTTTGCTTATTAAGGCACATGCTAGTGCTTCTGTTCTGTTCTTAAGTATCAGACGACCCCCCCTTATCTGGTCTGAGGCACTATTATAAAATAAGTTATATTATCTGTAACACTACCCAAAAAGCAATTCTAATTTAGTAAGAGTCTCTTTAATTCTTAAGTATCACATTTTTAAACAGCATCAAACTTGAAAAAAAGAATACCTGTATTTTTTGTTGAATAAAGATATGTGAACTCTCTATAATCTTTCATTCCGTCTGTGCATTAATGATAACATGGATACAGCAGTTTAGCCCTGATAATTGTCAGGCAGTGGAGGACAGGAGCATAGGGGCAGATTAAAATGTAGGCAAAAAAGAATTATCCAGAACTAACTGACAAACTTTAAATTTACTTACCTACTTTTTCTAGTAAAATACTAGCAGAAATAGAGAAGACATAGTAATATAGACCTACATGAGTATAGATATTCTAAACTGATAGATTCCTTCAGAGTTGTAACTAAATGCTAATTTTTGAAATTAAGAACAAACATACTTTTCAGAGGCCATAAAAGCAAAAAAACCCAAAACAAAAACAAAAACAAACAAACAAAAAACACAAACAAACAAAAAAAACCAAAACCAAAACCAAAACCAAAACTAAAAAAACCAAAAAAACCCAACCCCAAGGCAAAGGTTTCTTGCTGCACTGGTCACCAAAGTCAACACACATGGAACAAAATACATAGGTTCTAAACATTTGTTGTCAACAGCACTGAAATCAAACAAAATCCCTTAAATATTACCTATTTCATGTAACTTGGCTCTGCCATGGAAACATTACTTTATTCCAAATAACTATCTCTTTGCAAGAAAATGCAGTTGCTTTTTGGAAGTACTATTTTACTCTTCTTCCATTGGCCTCTTTTCCCAGGCAGCCAGCAATAGGAGAAGAGGAAATGGCTTCAAACTGCACCAATGGAAGGCTCAGGTTGGATATCAGGAAGGATTTTTTCACTTAAGGTGGTTAAGCATTGGAATGGGTTCCACAGGGACATGGTAGTGTTACCATGCCTGGAAGTGTTCAAGAAACAACTGGATGTGGCACTTTGTGTCCTTAGCTGATGTTTGGTCAAGAGTTGGACTCAATGATCTTGGAGGTCTTTTCTAATCTTAATGATTGGATGATTCTCTTCTGTTCTACGATTATTAAGTACAAGTAACACTGATTTTATCTGTGCATTTATAAGGCTCTCTTTGACAGCCTACACCTACAGACAAGGAAGTACAAATAATATATTTATAAAAAGATAACAATAAACTACTTTGAATTTTAAAAATTCTTCCCTAGATCCTTCTTGCACTCTTCTCTAATCAATATGATATGCATTTGGCACACCCAATGAAAAGAATAAGCAATAAGCATAGGGGATCAGGAAAATAATTTAACTTTACAAAGGATACCACAGTTTACAGAGGGAGAGTTAAAACTACAAACAAAGTTTGCAGTTTAAAGAAACAAAATCAGCTTGCAGTAATTTTCAAACTTACTTCAGATTTCTAGAATGATATTTGTAGCCGTGGAAAGGGGTTTTAACCCTTTAAGTGCGGCAGAAATAAGACGCACAGCTACATGGTCGTCTTTCATGACAGGAAGAAAGAGACAAGTTTATTCAGAAACACACTTGGTTTTATAGCATGACTCGCAACTCCAAGAATAGAGAAAAGGTGATTGGTTCAGAGAGAAGACACCCCATTCCCAGGGCCTGGTAATGCACCACAACAGGTGTTCTATCTTGTTATTAATTCCTTTTTATTTTGACCAAATTATCACCCTGGGAGAAATTCTCCCTAGCCTACAGCTGGACCAGCTTATCAGCTGGGAACAGAGCTGAAAAGCTCCAGCCTGGAATATTTTTCAGGCTGTAATTTTCTTACTTTCTCAATATGTGTCCCACAGATATTCTATAATGATGTATTCTAGAATGATATCTCATTTTATAATTGCTAAATGTATAAAGCTGTATAAATTATTCTGAAAAGCCAATTCCGGCATCATTATTTTAATACAATGGGTCAAGTTACCACTTCAGTAAGTACAGGTTGAACTGTTACATGAAAGTTTTTCCAAAGTCAGGGTGATACGAGGAGAGGCTTCACTTATCAAGAGCAGTCAATGAGACTACATCCTCCTCTCCTTAAAACCTCTGCTTAAAAAAGTTGTATGAATGCTATGAACAGGAACTTGGTGCTCAGAAGAAAATATTCAAAAGATATAAACTACTGAACATCTTTCTTCCTTCGTACAGTAGTAAAACTTCAGAGTCAGACAACATGTGAAAACACAGAAAATATAATCAGAATTTCATTTACTCACCTCTGTTCCAAATCCTTAGGTGTTAGTCAACCACTTCAGATGCCTGGCAATACCTAGAGAAATAATTGATGTAAAATGTAAGAAAGGTACAGAGCCAAAACTATCAAAACAATATTCATGATAAGTATTGGTGGCTGGAATGGTAAAAACATTGCTTGTAAGAGATTATATGCAGATGGGTGACATCTCACTACCATGCCACTTCTGCTTGGCTAGAAACACAGCAATCTAGACATCACTCCAACCATGAAGGCACAAAGAGAAAGGACAAACACCGGACTTCAGGAGAGTAGAGTTCAGCCTCCTCAGGTTTCTGTTTGGTGAAGTAACCATGGGATAAAGCCATGGACAGGAGAAAGGCCCAAAAAAATTCAAGAATATTCAAGGATCACGTCCTCCAAGCTGAGGGACAGTGCATCCCAACAAGGAAATCAGGCAGAAATACCAGGCCTGCATGGATGAACAAAGAGCTCATGGAGAGATATAAACCAAAGGGCAGGAGCAAGGACAGGTAGCCTGTGAGGAGTACAGAGAGAATGTCTGAGAAGCCAGGCATAAGGATAGGAAACCTAAAGCCCTGATACAATTAAACCTTGCCAGAGACATCAAGGATAACAAGAAAAGCTTCTACAGATATGTTGGTGATAAAAGCAAGATGAGAAAATGTGGTCCTTCTCTGGTAGGAAACAGGAGGTGTGGTTACCCAGGACATGCAGGAGGCTGAGGTACTCTGTGATTTTTTGCCTTGGATTTCACTGGCAAGTGCTCCAGCTACACTGCTCGAATTGCAGAAGGCTAAGAAAGACTGGAGAGGGTCCAGGGAAGGACTATGAAAATCATCATAGGATCACAGAATATTCTGAGTTGGAAGGAATCCACAAGTAGAGTCCAACTCTTGGCTCCGCACAGGATAATCCCCAAAATCACTCCATATACCTGAGAGCATTGCTCAAACACTTCTTGAACTCTGTAAGGCTTGGTGCTGTGACCACTTCTCCGAGGAACCTGTTCCAGTGCCCAACCACCCTCAGAGTGAAGAACCTTTTCCCGATGTCCAGAAAACACAGCTTCATGCCCATTTCCCATGTCATATCACTGCTCAGCAGAGAACCCTTTTTAACTCGTGAGGAAACTGTAGACTGCAGGGTTATGGTTAGGGGACTGGAGTATTTTTCTACTGAGGAAAGTCTGAGAGAGAAACCATCCACTGTAGGACAAGATAGGTTTGCAACCATCCTCAGGAACTGAAGGTGCACAAGTCTATGGGATCTAATGATGCAGAAGTCCATGGGACCTGATGAGGACACTATCCACCACATTTGAGACGTTGTGGCAGTCTGGTGAAGTTCCCATTGACTGGAAAAGAAGAATTATAACCTCAATTTTTAAAAAAGAGGAAGAAGAATAACACTACAGGCCACTCATTCTCACCTCTGCTCCTACCAAGACAATAAAGTAGATCTTCCTGGAAACTATGCTAAGGCACATGGAAAATAAGGAACTGACTGGTGACAGCCAATATGGCTTCATAAAGGGCAAATTATGTCTGATAAATCTGATCTTCTATGATGGAATTACAATGTTGTAGATGAGGGAAGAGCAACTGATTTCACATACTTGGACTTGTGCCAAACATCTGACATGGTCCTTATCTCTAGACTGGAGAGACATGGATTTGACAGATGGACCACTCAGTAGATAAGGAATTGGCTGGATGGTTGCAGTCAAAGAGTTGCAGTCAACAACTCACGTCCAAGTGGAAAGCAGTGCTGGTGATGTTTCTCAGATGTTGGTTTTGGGACCACTACTGTCTAACATCTTTGTCAGGGACACGGATAGTGGGACTGAGCACACCCTCAACAATTTTGGTGATGACACCAGCCTGTGTGTGGTCAAGACATGGGAGGAAAGGGATTACATCCAGAGGGAACTTGACAGGCTTGAGAGGGGAGCCTGTGCAAACCTCATCAAGCTCAACAAGCCTAAGTGTAAAGGTCTTATATACGGGCCAGGGCAATCCCAAGCACAAGTATAGTTTGGGTGGAGAGTGGATTGAGAGAAGTCCTGAGAGGAATGAACTGGGGCTGCTGGTGGGCTTTATAAGACCAGAAAGCCAGCTGTATCCTGGACTACATCCAAAGCAATGCAGCCAGGAGAGGGAAGTGATACTGCCTACCTGCTCTGTTCTTGTGAAACACCACTGGCAGTGCTGCTTCCAGTTCTGGTGCCCCCAGCACCAGAAGTACATGGACCTGCTGAACTGAGTCCAGAGGAGCACATTTACTGTGACGACAGGCTGAGTTACGTTGATGCAGCAATACTGAAATATAGAATTTCTCACTGTAATAGCGAATCCTGCATTTTTATACATTCATCAGGACAAGATATATGAAGAACCTCCCCTTACATAAATGAACAAAGCCAGTCAGAAGGTCAGCTCACTCTTACAAAGGGACATAATTTTGCCTTAGTGAAGATGGTTTAACAACAGAAAAGCTGGTGCAGACCTTCCAACAAAGTGCACTTCTGAGGGCAAAGGAAAGTGTACTAGGAGTACTGCAAAGGCAAGCAGAGCATAAAATGGCATCTGAATTCCTAGCACACAGAATGTTCCTTCAGGAAAAAAAAAAAAGAAAACACCACCAAAATACACCAACTGACTGGACCGGGCAGCTTGATTACTTCAACTTTTCTATCTCAAAAACAGCTAGCATGGCAATGAAAATACAGCACAATTAGCAGAGGCAGAGGCCATTTTCAGGAACAAAAAGGGCCAAATTGTTTTCCTTAAACTCAAACACCAAAAAATGCAGGAACAATTTTAAGTACATGTAAACCTAATTGTTGGGATAATGCATTAGGTGGTGCTTTTAAGGAAAATTTCCTTGCTTGAAATCTGAGGTCCCTAAAAAAGACTAGTACAGGCAGGGTAAGCCAGGATCAGCCCACAGAGGAAGCTGTAGAAAAGCCTCTCTCACAGAGCCATCCACCTGAAAAAGGCACAGCAGTGTTCTTCCTCACATGTGCACAAAAAGTAAAAAAAACCCTAAAACTTTGAAAAAAGAGGAAAGTAAGTATTATGTTTTAAAAGCCTCCATTTTGTCACCACATTTGTGGCAAAGCTAACAAGAGGAAAGTCCACACACCTTCCACTACCCCATCACCACACAGGCACTTCCCTTATGCCGCAAAAGACGAAATCCTCCCAAACGAATCAAAATGGGAAAAACACATGTATGCTCTCACTCTTTCTCTCAGGAGGACTTACAGATTTTGCAATAGCTCAGACAGATTTCTAGAACAGTTGGCAAAAATACATAAAATCTGTTTCTTCCTTTCTACTCAGCTAGCTGTAAGTTTGGTTGTATTTGTTTCCACCCCTCCAAAAATGGTGGAAACACTACATTCTTCATTCTTAGCTCCTTTCTCATTTGCAAGGGATAAATGTCTTAGCAAAACTAAGGGAGAAAGAGTCTCTATAACAGGCAGAGCCATTGATTTAAAGTTTTCTTATTTACAGTCAACAAGAGAATCAAATAGACTGGACACTGCTAAGAGAACACAATGGGTTTGACAACATTCCCACATCACATACCTTGTTTTGGACACAGTAGGAAGTGGGTATAGTTAGCCTCCCTAGCACAAATACACTAAAAAAAGAATACAGATATATCTGCTGTATCTTTAAACATCCTTTTCAAGTAGCTTTTTCTTCAGACATACTACTGTGTGATACTTCCATGTATTATATAATGGCAAGTCCTGAAATCAAAGAAAATTTTACTTACTTCAAGAAGGTTTGTATGACCAATTATGTCACTGTGAATAGAAATAATGCATTCAATGGATTGTCTATTGCTATCAATGCAGAACAACATAAAATAAAATGAAAAACGAAAAAGTAGTATTTCAGAGGGGTCACTAAGGCTACCTTCAGAAATAACAGCAAAACAAGAAGGACAAAGTATGCTCTTTAGGGATACACTGATAGTAGGTTAAAAAAAACCCTCACAAATAAAACCGCCCTCTAAATCAATGAGAATGCTAACCACCATAGGAAGACAACAGCTCAAGATATACAACAGATTTTCTTAACATTTCTTCTCAGGCTCGTTACTTTCTTTTTCACTCAAACCTACGAAAGAAAAAAAAAATCCAGTTTTCCTTTCTGAACTATCTACCTAATTTGTTCAATCTAGAAAATCATGCTACATACCTATTTGTAGGTAATTTAAAGCAAATTCAAGAGTTATATAGAGCAGCTTAATTTACAAGATGTTTCAAAGAGAACGGAAAAAAAAAGTCTTTTTTCATACTACAAAAATATTTTCCCCAAATGCACCTGTCCTGAAGTTTACACTTAATAAAATCCAGATGTACTTCTAACACACTGATCCCTGCTCTTAATGCCAGTTTTCCCACTGCACCACCTTAACTAAGAAAGCAGCACAGCAAAGTTTTATACATCATTAAAATGTTTAAACCAAGTAATACATTTTTATAATCCTAGCAATTCTCACAAAACTAAGCAGAATAAATACAGAAGCTATAAGAGTCCTGCACTGCAGCTGAAAGATCATTCTTAGCCTTTCACCTAATACAGTAACACTGAGTGGTAAATGAATCAAATTACCTTTTTTAAACAAGCCAGTTGTTACCAACTAAAGCAAATTTATGCAAATTTGGCTTTAATAAATTAATTATCTAATATTTATTTTGGCTTCTAAGGTTTGTTTTAGCTAAGCATAAATCTTTATTTGAAGTTAGCAATATAGAACATCAGCTATGAGCCCAATCTCACGTTTACTGAAATCAGTGGGAGCTCTTCTCATTAGCGTTATCCACAAGGATAAAAATATATAGTTTATTTTAAAGGCAATGTAAAGGCACTTAACAAGTTCATTTTACAATATGCTTCTTGAGTCACATCTCTGAGTCACAGGGACTAGAAAGTAAAATGGCAAGTCCCCCTTCCACATCTGCATCATGAGTTACACCACAGCCAGCACTTCAGTCTTGCTCAGTACAACCCTCTACCAATTCAAGGCAGCCT